ATGCCAAAAGCTAAAAAACATATAAAAGACAATCATAAAAAGTAATTAAACTGTAAAAGGATCAGCACAATAGAAAACGCAAATCTATGCAGATAATAAAAACAGCACGGCAGTATCAAAAGGAAAAAAGAAAAGAAACACTCACTTTTCAAAGGCCTGTTGGGATAAATAAAAAAAAGTATTTGCTTGCCAGGGGAAGCACAGCAAGGAGGGAGGCAGTCCAGCTCCTCTAGGCAGGGAGTTCCAAAGTTGCCTGGGAGGAGCCACCACTGAGAAGTCCCTCTCCCACATCCCCACCAAATGATCCTGTGGGGTGCTAGGGCCAAGAGAAGGGCCTCCTCAGAAGATCTCCCAGCCAGGGCAGAGGTGGATTTCAGGCAGCACAACTGGCTCCCCCAACTGGTGCCGCTGGGCATCACAGCTATGACTTGGTGCATGCGCAGAGCGGAAGGTGAGAGGCAGAAGGGGGCCTATTCTGGCCTCACACAGGGCGCTGCTGAAATCGGAAAAAGTCTTCCCCCGCTACGGGGATGAGCATTTACTGTTCCCAACCCTCATCCTGTGGAAAGCCATCTACTGCAATTTTGCTCCATAAGACACACTTTTTTCCTCCTAAAAAGTAAGGGGAAATGTCTGTGCGTCTTATGGAGCGAATGTGTGGTCCCTGGAGCTGAATTGCACAGGGGCAAAAATCAGATTGTGCTTTTATTTTTAGAAAGAGGGAAGAGGGTGTTGAAATGAAGCCGCTGATTGTTTGCCGATCGGGGAGAGAGATAAGGGACGCTAGCGGAGGCTGCCTGGGAGGGGGAGGTAAAAGCCCATGGATCCTCAGGATTTTTACATTGGGTCACCCCAAATTCAGCATCAGATCACACAGCATGTCCATGGCTACAGCCTGCACCCAAAAAATCACACACCCACTGTTCCCTGGGCAGTGGCATAGCGTGGGGGGTGCAGGGGGGGGGCCGGCCGCACCGGGCACAACATCTGGGGGGGGCGCTCGCCACCTCCGGAGTCGCCGAAGAGCCTCGGGCGCAGGCTGTAGCAGAGCCCCATGTCTCGCGGAACCGACGAGCTGGCAGCGGCTCTCAACGCTTGCCGCGATCCCCGCGCGTCAGGGCCGCGGAGGGCGCGCCAGGCAGCCCCTCCTCATAGCCCTGCTGCTGCTGCAGCTGCTGGGCCATGTTGCATTTTCCTCGCCTCTCTGCCCTCCTCCTCCAGGCAAGCGGCGTCGTTTGGGCGGCAGCGCCAGCGGCAACTCGCCTCAGATCACCTGACACGGACCCGCCGCCGTGGCTACCTTACTGTAAATACCCCAGCCCAGGCAGCAGCAAGAAGAAGCTGGCAGCGGCGGCAGGTTAGGGGTTAGGGGGTGCAAATTACTTGCCTTGCCCCGGGTTAGGGGGCGCAAATTACTTGCCTTGCCCCGGGTGCTGACAACCCACGCTACGCCGCTGTCCCTGGGGCTGCAATGGTGCAAAAATGTGGTTACAAAGCATGGATCCACATGGATCCTCAGGATTTTTGCATTGGGTCACCCCAAATTCACCATCAGATCACATGTCTCTGGCCACAGCATGAACCACAAAAATCATACATCCACTCTTTCATTCAGAATATATTTTTTTCTTGTTTCCCTTCTCTAAAAACTAGGTGCGTCTTATGGAGCGAAAAATACAGTAATTAGATTTTAATTTGATCCTGACTTGTTTTTAGGAGGTAATTTAATTATTGTTTGGTTTTATACTATTGTTATATATTTGATGTTAGCCGCCCTGAGCCTGGTTTCAGCTGGGGAGGGTGGGATACAAATAAAAGTATTATTATTATTATTATTATTATTATTATTATTATTATTATTATTATTGGTGTGTATGAGGGAATACAGTCATTGCAGAGGGCTGGACGAGCCTTGGGGTCCCTTCCATCTCCACAATTCTGTGATTCTGTGAATAAGCAACAACCGTGCCCAGTTCTTAAATGGGAGAGGCAAGAAGGGAGAGAAGAAGGAGACCCCTTCGCAGCAGAAGCTGCCTGCAAAACCTCCCTGGGACTCCTTCTTGTCCCCTCTCCTGATGAAAAGACCAGTTGCTGTTGTTACAAGTTCCATTTTAATATGAGCAAAAATGAAATTCAGGCTGCCAGGCATCAGACGACCGCAGGCCGTTCTGTTCATGCGCAAAAGACAGTGCTGGCTGGAAAGGGGGAGCAGGAGAAAGAGGTGCGATTTTGCAGGGCCTTTTCCCTCCACGTGAAATACTTTTCTGGTTGTCGTCTAAGTGACAGCGACTGTCACTCAGGCAACCCGAGTTTAGAAGAATATTGATAAGCTGGCAGGTGTGCAGAGGAGAGCGACCGAGATAATCAAGAGCCTGGAAACCAGACTCCTATTTCTGAAGAAGGGTCGAGGGAGTTGGGAGAGAAGATACGAGAACCACTTTCACATACCTGAAGGGTTGTCACACGGAAGAGGGAACAAGCTTGTTTTCTGCTGTTCTAGAAGGTGGGGCCAGAACCAATGGATTCAAGTTACAAGAAAGGAGATTCTGACTCCATTTTAGGAAGAACTGTCCAGTAGTAAGAGATGTTTGACAGTGGAAAGGACTCCCTGGGAAGGTGGTGGACTCTCCTTTTAAGCAGAGGTTGGATGGCCAGCTGTCAGGGATGCTTTAGCTGAGATTCCTGCACTGCAGGGGATTGGACTAGATGGCCTTTGGGTCCCTTCCAGCCCTACGATTCCATGATTCCATTATGCTGTTATTCTCTGCCTGCTGGGAGCAGTGCCGGATTTACATATAAGCTAAACAAGCACTGTGGGTTAAACCACAGAGCCTAGGACTTGCCGATCAGAAGGTTGGCGGTTCAAATCCCCGCAACTGGGTGAGCTCCCGTTACTCGGTCCCTGCTCCTGCCAACCTAGCAGTTCCAAAGCATGTCAACGTGCAAGTAGATAAATAGGTACCGCTCTGGTGGGAATCATAGAATCATAGAGTTGGAAGAGACCACAAGGGCCATCGAGTCCAACCCCCTGCCAAGCAGGAAACACCATCAGAGCACTCCTGACATATGGTTGTCAAGACTCTGCTTAAAGACCTCCAAAGACGGAGACTCCACCACACTCCTTGGCAGCAAATTCCACTGTCGAACAGCTCTTACTGTCAGGAAGTTCTTCCTAATGTTTAGGTGGAATCTTCTTTCTTGTAGTTTGGATCCATTGCTCCGTGTCCGCTTCTCTGGAGCAGCAGAAAACAACCTTTCTCCCTCCTCTATGTGACATCCTTATCTCCTTAACATTTGACCTCCCCTGAAGGTCCAAAAGGGGTCTGCATTTCGGGAAGGGATGGCTGATTTCATGAACTGACGGGCGGCACTGTTGTCTCCAGACTAAATAATCCATGTCTTCATAGAGTTGTGGAGTTGGAAGGGACCCAAAGCGTCATCTAGTCTGACCCCCTGCGGGAGCTGTATGTTGTTGTACCAACGCAACCCTTCAGAGGTGATCTGGCTCGATAAGAAAACTGGGCAGGCCTTCAATGCTGTGGAGCGAAAGGAAAGCCTAACAGTCAAACGTTTCATTTATGGATTAAATGCAGCATCAAAGAGAGAGATGAAACATTCATGCCCAAATCTCGGATTCCTCCCTCGGTGGCTCCTCGCACAGCCTGCAGCCTCCTCTCCACGTGCACAGAGTGAACTCCCTGCCTTTTGTTTGCCTTGAAGTCTTCATCCAAACGGACGTCCCTATTAAACAAAAAGGGCTAAACTGCACTCAGAGACTCAGATGCGAAACGCGGCGCAGCCTCCCAATCAGTTCATTAAGTCTGAATAAACACATGGAAATTAATATTCAACTTTCATTCTCATATAGCCAAATTAGAAGCCAGCAAAGAGGGAAAGAATGTAATCTAATTAAACTAATGAGAGTTGTGCTAATAAATTGCCCACCATTAATTCTTTATTGCAGCAGGAGCGGCTCATGAAGGAGACGTCGGCAGCCCCACCGACCCGCCCCTGACGCAGGGGGGCTTCAAAATCAGTTGGTTCTCCCACCAGCTTTGCATGTCCCCCAACCGCTTCAAGGAAAAGCCAGAGATCTGCAAGGCGTTGGAGCCGAGGAGTCCCAATCCCAGAGCTCAGTTGCTCCTTATTTTTAGAGAAACATTCACCAACCCCTTGTTTTTATTCCATTAAATTGTTGTTGTTGTTTTAAAGCACCTGAAAGTGGTTTACCAAAAGATAAAACAATAAAATCCAGTAAACAATGACAATACTTCAAACACGTACAAAAAGTTAAAATGCACACCAGCATTTCTACGCCTCTGGGTAGGATGCTTTTAGCAGCTGCCAAAAAAGAATGAAGTTGCCAGCTTGATCTCAATAGGCAGGGAGTTCCAAAGTGGAGGCGCTGGGAAGCACCGGAGGAGAGACTTGCACTTGGGCTCAAACCCGACAGGTGGGATTTCCGCTGTGGCATCTGTTCGGCCACTGGGAGAACAGGAGGCTGGACTTTGGGCCTGACCCAGGAAGCTCTTCGTTAAGTCGATAGAAAAATCTGTTGGAGAGGGAGGTGTTCCTTCTCAGCTCCTGATCTCAAACGTGGATGCCATGGAACGAGAAGCTGCCAGTTAATTTTGCTTTACTTGTTTCTTGTTTCATTGCATTCACATTGTCTTTTTTCATCCATGGAGTCAGGGGCGTCTAATCCATATTTTACGAATATTTTACTGGATATAAAACTGGATATTTCATGTTTTTTCATGTTTTTAATATTAGGCTGGGAACCACCCAGAGTGGCTGGGGAAACCCAGCCAGATGGGTGGGGTATGAATAATAAATTATGATGATTATTACTACTACTACTATGTCTTTATATAAGCTGTAAGCCACCCACAGTGGCTGGGGCAACCCGGTCAGATGGGCATGGTGCAACTAAGTTTTATTATTATTATTATTATTATCATTATTATTATTATTACTATTATTGTTATTATCTACAGGTGTTTTTTCCTCGTGCTTATCTTCCTTCCAAAGTGTCTGGGCACTTTCATTTCCAGACAGAGAGAGAGAGCGAACAGAGAGCAGGAGGGATTCAACATCCATTTCTGCACCACGGAGTAACTTTTGCTATAAGGCTACAAATACAAGACTTTTCACCCGGGAACACGGAGCTGACGAAAGAGGTCCATTTCCCCGCTCTGTTAAGCTAAGTGTAAACCCAACCAGTAACCCAAACAGGGACAAACTGAGCCGCAAAAAAAATATCCAAAGACGAACGGATCTGCCTCTTGCAAAGAGCGCGGCTGGAAAGCACAGAACCATTGTGAGCATTTGGGTGAGCCTAACTGGGTCACAGGGATCCTTTATGCATCCGGCTCAGAGACTCAGCTGGGATCTGGCACTCTAAAGCTAGATCATCCCGCCTCCTCTCGGCTTCTGCCGCTTGGCTTGCAAAATCCCCCGAACCGCCTTTGTTGTGCGGCGTCACATTTGTGATGCTCCGAGTGTCTCCATGGAAAACTTTCAAGTCTGGCAGGCAGGCAGGCTCAGCCGAAGCCTCAAGGACCTGGTGGAATTTCCCCATTTTGACTTACAATCGATGGGGGCAGCACAGCAGAAGGGGGGGGAAGAGAAGGAGGCCTTGTTTGCTAAGTAATGTTTTTTAAATGATCCTATGTTTATATGCCTCTGCTAGAAACCGTGGCGTGTCGAAGGGAGGTGTGGGGAAGGGGGCCAATCCAACAGAAATTTCTTTTCATAGAATCATTGCATTGCAGAGTCATTAGAACTGGATATGGAACAACTGATTGGTTCAAAATTGGGAAAGGAGTACGACAAGGCTGTATATTGTCTCCCTGCTTATTTAACTTATATGCAGAATTCATCATGCGAAAGGCTGGGCTGGATGAATCCCAAGCTGGAATTAAGATTGCCAGAAGAAATATCAACAACCTCAGATATGCAGATGACACAACCTTGATGGCAGAAAGTGAGGAGGAATTAAAGAACCTTTTAATGAGGGTGAAAGAGGAGAGCGCAAAATATGGTCTGAAGCTCAAAATAAAAAAACGAAGATCATGGCCACTGGTCCCATCACCTCCTGGCAAATAGAAGGGGAAGAAATGGAGGCAGTGAGAGATTTTACTTTCTTGGGCTCCATGATCACTGCAGATGGTGACAGCAGTCACGAAATTAAAAGACGCCTGCTTCTTGGGAGAAAAGGCAATGACAGGCCTAGACAGCATATAATAAAGCAGAGACATCACCTTGCCAACAAATGTCCGTGCAGTGGTACCTCGGGTTACATACGCTTCAGGTTACAGACTCCGCTAACCCAGAAATAGTGCTTCAGGTTAAGAACTTTGCTTCAGGATGAGAACAGAAATCGTGCTCCAGCGGTGTGGCAGCAGCAGGAGGCCCCATTAGGTAAAGTGGTGCTTCAGGTTAAGAACAGTTTCAGGTTAAGTACGGACCTCCGGAACGAATTAAGTACTTAACCCGAGGTACCGCTATATAGTTAAATCTATGGTTTTCCCAGTAGTGATGTATGGAAGTGAGAGCTGGACCATAAAGAAGGCTGATCGCCAAAGAATTGATGCTTTTGAATTCTGGTGCTGGAGGAGACTCTGGAGAGTCCCATGGACTGCAAGAAGATCAAACCTATCTATTCTGAAGGAAATCAGCCCTGAGTGCTCACTGGAAGGACAGATCCTGAAGCTGAGGCTCCAGTACTTTGGCCACCTCATGAGAAGAGAAGACTCCCTGGAAAAGACCCTGATGTTGGGAAAGATGGAGGACGCAAGGAGAGGACGACAGAGGACGAGGTGGTTGGACAGTGTTCTCGAAGCTACCAGCATGAGTTTGACCAAACTGGGGGAGGCAGTGGAAGACAGGAGGGCCAGGCATGCTCTGGTCCAGGGGGTCACGAAGAGTCGGACACGACTAAATGACTAAACAACACAAAGGGACCTCCAGAGTCATCTAGCCCCACCCCATGCAATGCAGGAATCACAGCCTTTGCAGAAGCTTCACTGAAAGGAAAGGTGTTGCGTTTTAATGAAGGGCCTTGGACATTTAAGGAAAAGAGCAGCGAAAAAGAGACAGTTTGTGTTCAAGAATGGGGCAGTTTAACCCCTTCTCACCCTGCTGCAGTCCTGGTGAAAGCGGCTCCTTGCATCAGAGGAGAGGTCAGCTTGGCTCTGGCCAGAGTCTAGGCATTAAAGCTTCTGTCTCCAAAGACCAGGTCAAGCAAGCAGGCTCAGTGGGATGAACAGGAGGTGAGAGAGCAGCGCCCAGGACCCAGCTGCAGAAAGCGAGGGTCAAGTCTGTCTGCCAGGGTTCACCCACCACCTTCTGTCCTCTCCAGTTGCCCATTGATCTGTGGTTTCTCCCTCCAAAGGAGCCACTCTGAAAATCTCAATGTCCAATTGCGCTTTCTCTCAAAATCAACTGTTCTAGATACTCTTTCATACATACAGTCATACCTCGGGTTACAGACGCTTCAGGTTGCATTTTTTTCAGGTTACGGATGCTCCAAAATGCGGAAGTACCAGAATGGGTTACTTCCAGGTTTCGGCAGTCGCGCATGCGCAGAAGTGCTAAATCACAACCCGCGCGTGTGCAGACGCGCTGCTGTGGGTTGTGAACATACATCCCGCATGCATCACGTTCACAACCTGAGCGTCCACTGTATTTGGAGCCACAAGCTGCACTGGAACATTTGGTCAACAGCAGCAACAACAATGGCTGAATGTCATCCCAGTACAAAGATAGAATTATAGAACTGTAGAAACTTGTTTTCTACTCTTCCTGATGGTAAGACCCAAACCAATGGATTCAAGGTACAAAAATTAAATGCCAACCAAATCTCAGAAAGAGCTTTCTGAGGACAAGAGCTGTTGGGCAGTGGAAGGGACTCCTTCAGAAGGTGGCTCCTTCAGAAGGTGGCTCCTTCAGAAGACTCTCCTTCCTTGGAGGTTTTTCATCCGAGGTTTGATTGGCACCTGCCAGGGATTCCTGGGATTCCTGCCTTGCAAGGGGGTGGACTAGATGCTCCTCAGGATCTCTTCCAGTTCTGCAATTCTATGCTTGTAAGAAAGAGGGCCCCAACAGGTGTGATGTGACAATTGCAGCTAGGAAGGAAGGAAGGAAGGAAGGAAGGAAGGAAGGAAGGAAGGAAGGAAGGAAGGAAGGAAAAAGCACAGGAAGGAAGGGAAAATGGAAGGGTAACTGGAAGGAAGGAAGGAAGGGAGGGAGGAAGGAAGGAAGGAAGGAAGGAAGGAAGGAAGGAAGGAAGGAAGGAAGGAAGGAAGGAGCCCTATCTATTTCCAGGGCTAATTGGAGCTTTTCTTCCGCCTTCCCAACCCTCCTCCTGTTTTCCGGGAAGAGGTGGCGGTGGCACTTGGAGCCATTTCTGCCGGAATGAGCGAAGTGCCGAGGGAAGGCCATTTATTCTGATTAGCCTGCCTCATTACACAAACACAAATGTTGCTTAAGCAAATGAAGCCAAGCTGCCTCCTCGCTCTTCCAAGGAGGCCCTTTGCGGCCCCGCCAACAGAACGCGCCAACGGAACCCAGAGCGCTGGCCGTTTCTTCCTCTTTGCAGCCCAGTAATGAAACATTGATCGGGGCCTCGACTGGAGGGATCCAGAGCTGGAGGAGAGGAAGAAGGCAAAGGAAAATGGGCTGCAGAGGGAGCGACAGCAGGAAGAATGCCTCAGAGGTGCCTGGTGGATCAGGCCACAAGATGCCTCTTCTGGGAAACCTCCAAGCAGGATTCAAGCACAAGAGCAACTCTCCCCTCCTGGGGCTTCCAGCAACTGCTCTCCAGAAGGATGGGTGAGCACAGCCATCTTGGCCAGTAGCCATCAACAGCCTTCCTTTACATAATGGTTGCAATAATTAGAGCCATCTAGGTAGGTGCCCATCACTGCTTCCCACAGGAGTGAGTTCCGCAGTTTAACCAAGGCCAGGCAGCCCATGAGGCGAGGTGAGGCCATTGCTTTAGGCAGCATATTGGGGTCCAAGGAGAGGGCTTTGGGTTTTACTTAAAGGCTCAGATATAGGTCCATATATAAAGGAGAATTCCCTGGATGCCTAGACCCAGGTTTGAGCCCAGAGAGAACCCTGGCAGAGATTTAAAAATCACAAATATTTATTTATTTATTTATTTATTTATTTATTTAGTAGTAGTAGTAGTAGTATTTATATACCATCCTATACCTGGAGGTCTCAGGGCGGTTCACAGAAAAGATCAACATAAAAACCACAATATATATAATCAAAATAAAAACAACCTGATTACACCCCCAAAAAAATGTGCAGCAAGGCATTGAAATATTGCCTGCTAGACCTTCAAAATATCCCTTCAAAGTTGCTCTTGCCAGAGGAGTGAGGGTGCCAGGGTAGTGGGCTGCAGGGGGCAGGTATGGAGGAGGCAGCTGCGTTGAGCAGCAGATCTGGTACCTGAGGCAAACCCCGCACCTTGCCTCACAGGTGAGCCAGCCCTGAAAGAAGAGGTAGGGCAGCTGCTTTTCCCAGAGCAGTCCTAGCTCCAGACCCCCAAACCTGCCTGCCTAAGAGCTTCCCCAGAGAGCCGTTGCTGGGAATCCAGAGCTGGATCTGGTGCCAGTCTGGACACCTCCTTGAGGCCTCTCCCCTTGTTATGTACTGAGTTGAATAGGATCCAAAATGCAGCAGTCTGATTGGTCCTAGAACAATAAGATCCAGAATGCAGCAGTCTGATTGGTCCGCAGGAGCCACCCAATCCAGCTCCAGGTGGAAGTGAATCCGCAACCTGATTGGCCTACAGGAGAATCCCGGAATTAGCCAATCACGTGGGGCCCATTGTGTAAATAATGTATATAAAGCAGACATTCTGGGGGAACTTCCATTCCTCCTCACCACTATGAGCTGAATAAAGAGCATGGAATCCATTCTCGACTCCGAGTATATTTCACCCCTCTTAGGGAAGCTCTTTCCCGTCAACAGCTGCCTTGAAACTGCTGAGGGGTTGGAAAGTTGGGATGACTTGGAGGAGGACCAAGGGGGAAGAGAGAGCTGGGAGTGCAGTGGGACCCCTCTTCCCATCTTCTGGACCTCCTGGAAAACTCAGGAAACCTTCTGCACGTGGAATTGGTCATGGAGAGGTCAGCTGGATGGGATGCAGCCAGAGGAAGCGCCA